GAGAGAGAGAGAGAGAGAGACAGAGAGACAGAGAGACAGACAGAGACAGACAGAGACAGACAGAGACAGAGAGAGACAGAAACAAAGAGACAGAGGAGAGAGAGAGAGAGAGAGAGAGAGAGAGAGAGAGAGAGAGAGAGAGAGAGTCTTCCATGAACAACCAGGAAAGATCAGGCTCCCAGCGGCCATATAACATGCTGTCTCCCTGTTTACATTTGTATAAATCTATATCATGGATTGAAGGCAAACGATTGCAGTAAACCCTACTATCTATCTTGAGACTCGGCCTTATTTCAACTATTTAAACCCACGGGTTTCATGCAGATTTCTACCATCCGTTAATTATACAGGTCTGAAATGAAACAAACAGCCTCTGCCTCCGGAGACTCACTCCTAATGTTCACATGACCCCTGCTCCCCTCAGCCATGATCACATCCCCCTCCCCTACACAGATAGCTGCCAGGTCCTCCTGGCTTACCATCTCAGACTCCCTCACTTTCTGTAACCCCCCCCCCGCACTGCTTTCATTCAAGAAGTCCTCATTTCTTCTCTGGATTACAGCACTCAAACTTTTTCCTCTCTCTAAAATCCAAGGATGAGGTTCATTTCCTTCTGTTGTCCTGCGACAAACATTTCCATGGCCTCCCATAGTTCTCTGGATAAAATCGCAACTGTCTAGCAAATCCTGCTGCTGCTGGCCCTGCCCTACATCCCAGTCTCAGCTTCTTGTCCTGCTCTGCTGCTACAGTCCTCTCCTCTTCACAAACACATCCCTTGAACAAGTATGAGTGTTTCAACCATTTCTCTGTATTTTCTCTGAATTCTAGACCCAGCACATCCTGTTCTTTTTTTTTCAAATAATTTTACTGAGGGGCCAGGGAAATGGCTCAGTAGAATAAGCGTTTCCCTGGCAAGCACAAGGGCCTGAGTTCAATCCCCAGTTCCACCAAAAAAAAAAAAATTACTGAGAAACAAATAGCAATGAGACAGTTTCAAGAGATTAGTAGGACAGTTTCAATAATTAATACATTGTGTATTGTTGCCTTCTTAGTGGTTATTCATAGTACAAGAGGCAGACATGATATCCTGTCCACAAACACTATTAGTACAAATCTTTCTATTCACTGAATTAAGAGAAAGTAGCTGTATATCTATCCAAACTATTTTGATTATACAGATACAAAACAGTCCTTTATTTGTTGTTGCTGTTGTTGTTTCTGCAACCGGGGATTGAACTCAAGCCCTTGCGCTTACCAGGGAAACACTTATTCCACTGAGCCATCTCTGTGGCCCTGGTGCCATCTCTGTGGCCCTGGTCCTTTATTTGTATCCCCCTTTTTAAAAAATTTTGTCAGAGAAGGGTATTCCATTGTCATTTAAATATTGTAGGTATGTGAATTTAGCAAAATATTCCAATGGGACCTCCTCTTATTGAAAAGTTTTTGCACATCAAAAGAAATTGCCAATAAAGTTAAAGACAATCCACAAATTTGGAAAAAAAATTAACTAATCAGCATTCAGACAAAGGTCTGCTCTCTAGAATTTATTTTTTCCCATAATTTATTGATAAATAGCAATGAGACAGTTTCAAATCAAATTGGTAGGACAGTTTCAATAATTAACACACTGCATACATTCTTCCTAGTGGTTAATTGCTG